CTTTAGGGCAGGGGTGTCCAAACTTGGGAACTTTAAGACTTATGGACTTCAACTCCCAGAATTCCCCAGCCAGCATGCATTGGCTGGCTGGCTGGGGAATTCTGGGAGTTGAAGTCCACAGGTCTTAAAGTTCCCAAGTTTGGACACCCCTGCTTTCGACTAACACATTCCCACACACCACAATATGGGGGCACCCCAGAGAAGATCGGCCAGCTCATCCAAGTCCCAGAATCCTTGCAATGAGAAGGAACTCTTAGCAGGCCTCCTCAAAACAGCTAATCTGTATTAGTGAAGTTAATTAGTGAAGACCATGCCTGATACAAGACTCATCCTGATACAACATACATTCTGGTTTAAAGCCCACATTATTTTTATTCTTGACTATCTGCTTACCCCCCCCCCCCCATCATCCACAGCCACCACTATTTTTCACCTCCTGCAGTCAAAGTAGATCCCGATCAGACCTGGAATATGCCACCAAGAAAGTTTCACATCCCATGCTATTTTCTTGCATGGATTGCGTGTGCAATGGAATTTCCCTGGAAGCTATTGTTTGAATTCTTGTTTTGGAATAGGACTTTCATTGCTACTTGTTTGTCTTCAAAGTCTCAATATTATCCCTCAAACTTCTACCAGACAAGACAGATTATATGGTAGTATCCCATTTTGACATCACTGAAGATTTTGGTGGTGATACCAATGACAACATAGAGATGAAGTGATTAAATGAATTGCACAATAGCTCGTCATCAGGGAGAATGTGTTGGTCATTTCTGCCTCCAGCAGAATGTTTTTAGACCCAAATGAGCTGTATTTGAATCCTGTTTTTTTTTAAACTTCAAGCATTACAGTAACCAAGCACACGACAATGGAATCTTTCACTCCATATTTTATCTTTTAGATAACATGGATTTAGCAGTTATTCCCATAAAAGAAATTCATGTAGATCAGGATTCAACTGTGTGGTCTTTGGTGTTCTCTGAGCTTCTTTTCTTGTCAATGTTTCATTATCCAACTAGGTAGCATAAACCCCACTTCCTTCTAGCCTTGATGATGTTATCTAGTTGGGTAATGAAACATCTGTAAGAATACAGCCAAGCCAGGGGTAGGTTGCTCCTGGTTCGGTCCGGTTCAGCTGAACTGGTAGTGGTGATTTGGTCTGGGTCGCAGAACCCGCAGCGAGTCAGGCCAGCCACGCCCCCAAACCAGTTCCAGGTCTCTTCTGCCGTTGCTGACATGTTTCTGGGCATGTGCAGAACAATTTTTAGTCAACTGTGCATTCGCAGGAACCCACCCCTGAACCAAGATCAGAAAGCACCAAGAACCCAACAATAGATATTGGCAGGACTTTTCTGGAGCAAAGGTTTAATTTAGTATCTTCTTGATCCTTATTCTGTATCTCTTATTCTGCTTGTTAAGATGGTGATTTTTTTAATAGATTTGAAACCTGAGATATTTTTGTTGGGCATGCTTTAAGGAAACTATAATAAGGGTAACACACATTTGGTTTTACATATCCTAACAGCAGCTAGGATTGTATATGCACAATGTTGGAAAAACTCAGAAACTCCTGAAGATGATATTATAATCAAAAAAAATTCTGGAATGTGCAGAGATGGATAGGTTAACCCTAAAAATTAAAGGAAAAGAAGATTCGCATGAATGGAAGATAGATGTGTGGATGAGTATTCTGTTTCCAATTAATTTCAAATCAAGTTTTTAAAATCATGACACAGTACAGAGAGTATTCTAATCAAGAGGAAGGAGGATGTAGAATAGTGTTTTATATGCTGGCTGGGGAATTCTGGGAGTTCCACGCACCTTCAGCTGCCAAGTCTGAAAACTGCTGGTGCAGGATATATAGCATTACTATATTTAAGTATATGCAATTTATATAGGACAAACAGAGATAATTAGGTCTCTGCCCTAAAGTTGCTTACAGAACTGAAGAAGCTTCTTGGATGAGAAGTAAAACATCTTCAAGGAAAAAACAAAATGCTTTTTAAAAAAGCACCTTTGGGACAACCATGACCTGGATGACTGAGAATCTCCAAAGATAGTTTAAAGCCCTCTTCCAATGTGACACCTTTTGTGATTGCAACACGAGATCCTAGCCAGCTTAAGTGTAAGCAGAAATGCTTCAGGGAAGAGAGGGAAAAAACACAATAAAGAATGTTAATTAATAAATGCTAGCAAATGTTACTATAAACACTTCACTGTAATTGAGATGAATAGCAATAGCAATAGCAGTAGACTTATATACCGCTTCATAGGGCTTTCAGCCCTCTCTAAGCGGTTTACAGAGAGTCAGCATATTNGAGACAGGTACTAGGAAGGAAGAGAAGAATAATAGTAATTCAGTCTTAGTAGAAAAAAATTGACAGTGTTGTGGGGATTAGTTGTTTAGCAGAGTGATGGCATTTGGGGAAAAACTGTTCTTGTGTCTAGTTGTCTTGGTGTGCAGTGCCCTATAGCATCGTTTTGAGGGTAAAAGTTGAAACAATTTGCGTCCAGGATGTGAGGGGTCTGTAGATATTTTCACAGCCCTCTTTTTGACTCGTGCACTATACAGGTCCTTGATGGAAGGCAGGTTAATTCAGGTAATGAAACATCTGCGGGGAAAACAATGAGGCTCAGAGAGCACCCAAGGCCCCTCAATCAGAAAGCTTTTTAAAAAGGTATTTTTCAACAAAGCAGGTTCTCAGGTGATATTGCGATTGGCTTTTTTGGCTAGATCAGTGTTTTTCAAACTTGGCTACTTGAAGATGTCTGGACTTCAACTCCCAGAATTCCCCAGCCAACGAATGCTGGCTGGGGAATTCTGGGAGTTGAAATCCAGACGTCTTCAAGTTGCCAAGATTGAGAAACACTGGCTAGATTAACCATTCCAGCGGTAGAGAGGAAGAAAGTAGGGAGTTCAGAAAAAGCTGAGGGTTGCTAGTTTCATTCCTGGGAATTGTACTTTGTTACCCTTTTAAAAATATCTTCTAGCTCCAATTTTGCCCAAGGAGGACTTCTCAGAACTAAGCCTTTTTCCTTCTGATGCAAGGACAACGCCCAAGATGCTCAACAATGGCCGTGCTAGTTGGAAATCCTGGTAGTTGAGGTTTACTCATCTGAAGGGGGTTATAGATTGAGAGAAAGTGACTCAGCTACTCAGAATACACTATGATACCAACCTTTCTTTCATAGTCTGATGACTCCACCTGAGGCACACCAGAGACAATGCCAAGAATCAGGAGATTCCGCAGTGTCAGTTTTTGTTATGGAAAAAATGGAGTGAAACCTACATACCGTATGTAAGTTTAATGCTTTATCCCCACATGTGGCTTTCCCACAGCAACTTTTCCCCTTCTTTCAACCTCTTGCCCCCAGGTGTTTATCCTTAAGGCAGAATCACAGTATAAGAAAGAGAAGGAATTTCCGAAGCTGCCTTTCCAGGTGCTTTTTAAATTTAGGGTGAATTAAAACGAATTAGATAGAGCCTGATCCTACCGGTGAAAACAAAATTTAATACTGTGGCTGAGCTTTGGAATACTCAGAAGTGTGCATCTAAATTGAGTGCAAAGTGCATTTTTGCTACACATCTAGAAATCTGATCAATCAGTATTATCGTCATCAGTATTTTCTCCAACGCATCTCATTTTAAAAGGCAGTAATAAACTTTTAATTACTCAGTGATTCATGCTTTCTGAGAGCTCTTCAAGTTGGCAATATAGAGGTGACTGATAAGAACATTGCCCAGATTGGGAAGATTATAATCATGGCAAGTGATTTAGATAGTATGCAAACAAATAAATGCACCCATGCTGATAAAGATAAAAAGATGCCCTCAAGTTGCCCCCAAGAGACAATCATGCATTTTTCTTAGGAATATGTATGTTATCATTACACAACCACTCTTACTACAGCTTTTCCTTCCATCCTTTTGACTTTTACAAGACTCTTGACAGAAAGCAAAAGTAGCTGTTCTAATCTACACAACTGAAAGAAGTGAAAAACCAAGTGTTTTGAGCCATTTCAAACAAAATAGTTTCCTATTTAAAACAAAGAAACAAACAAAATCTTCATCGACTCATAGAGTTTATCATGCCGGCCAGCAAGAGATCAGCACACTTCCATTAATTCTTGCACCTAGCAAAGTTGTTGGCCAATCATTTCTTAATACTGCATCTTTTATACATATTTTACAGCAACACAGACCTGTTCGGGGTTGCAATTCCTCACATCTGGACAACATCAAGCCCGAGACTCTGATGAAACAACAGTTCAATTTGGCATTGCAGAATTTAATTAGGGATTAAATTAGGGATTTAACTGTCCCCACTAGTGCTCATTTTGAGGAGTCTAATGCATTCAAGCTCTGCATGAAAATGTAGCCTCTTACTCTTAGGCAGGTTTTCTGTCTCTACCCTATTTATTCTATCTCTATCTTGACAGCTGTTCTATTTTTACAGCAATGCCACCCAAATTGCTCTACTTTTCATCCCTGTCCTGGGTCTATTTCCCTGTTCCCTGCTCCAGAAACCACTTTCATTCCAACTGGTTTCACTCGACTTTTGAATCTCCATGCTCTTATGCAACATTCGTACTACTAACAATCCACTCCTCAGCTGTGTACAATTTATTTTTCTGAGAGTCTCTTCTCATCAGGGTTAAGTATCTGCCACTTTCCATCTAGCTTTGCTGCTTCCCTCTTAAAACAGAGGTCTCCAAACTTGGCAACTTTAAGACTTGTGGACTTCAAAGCCCAGAATTCTGGCTGGGGAATTCTGGGAGTTGAAGTCCACAAGTCTTAAAATTGCCACATTTGGGGACCTCTGCAAATACTTCCCAACCAGAATTTGTTCTGACCCTTTTTGTCCTTACAGTTTCCATCCTTCCGGCTTTGTTCTCTATGCCTTTAAGCCATCCCATCCCAGATGCCTTCAGGCAAACCATCCATGAACCTCTGATTGGCCACCAGTGTCCTTTGCCTTCTCACTTTCTCCTTCACTTACCAATGCTCATAACTCTGCCAAAGACAGATGTGTTGTCCACTGTGCTGCAGTTCCATCGCCTCTGCCTGAATTGGAATTGGCATTCTTTGATGGCGTTCTTAGCCCCCTCACCGATGTACATCATGTGTTCCTGATATAGTTGGCACAACTTCCTCTGGCCTGGGGACAGCCCTGGTAGTTGGCTACATACTGGTTGGGCTCCAATGATGTACATCTCGGGTCTCTGGATTGGATTCATCGCTAATGACCTGAAATGAGGAGATCATTGTCAAGAAATACATCCTTCCATTCCCCACCATCCAGTCCAGTGGTGAAATTCATTTTTTTTTACTGTCGGTTCTGTGGGTGTGGCTTGGTGAGCGTGGCAGGGGAAGGCTACTGCAAAATTCCATTCCCATCCCAATCCAGGGGAAAGATAGTGCAAAATCCCCATTCCCACTCAGACTCTGGGGCCAGCCAGAATTGGTATTTGCCAGTTCTCCGAACTACTCAAAATTTCCACTATCAGTTCTTCAGAACCTGCTGAATTTCATCCCTGATCCAGTCAGAGCTGAAGAAGCTTCTTGGATGAGAAGCAAAACGTCTTCAAAGAAAAGCCAGTTGCCTCTTGGGGGAAAAAAAGCACCTTTGGGATTGTCAAGAAATGGCTCTTTTGGGGTGTTAAGGCTTTGTCTGTCAGCAGAACCAGTACATAAAAAGCCACAGACCTTTCCAAACACAAAGAGAATAGTTTGGAATGAGGAAGCTAAGGATTCTTTATTTAAGGGCAACCACATAAGTGTCCAACTGGTTCATGTTTATTGAATCCCACCAGCTTCACCCTGAGATGGATAATTAAATAGAGCTTTGTCCTGGAACTAAGGAGCTGAATTAACTATCAACCAAGGACCTTTCCCACAAGTTAAGGGTCCGGTCATACTCTTCAAGGAAAGCCTCTTTTAACTGTGAGCTTTGGGAAAACACTTTCCAGGTAGGATGGCTTTGGGGCAAGTGGTCCTGAAGATGACCTTCTTCCCAAGCTTCAGTCCAGCAGCCGTTGAATCTGCTCCAAAGCAAAGTTACCTGCAAACTGTTGCCTTGTACTGTATACTGGGGGCATGTAAGAGATTCCCTACATCAATAGGAAGGGTTGAGGAAGTGATGGTAGGGGGCTCCAAGTGTGTGTGTGTGTGTGTGTGTGTGTGTGTGTGTGTGTGTGTGTCTAGGGGGTGTGGAGGGAGGAACAAGGTTTTGGGAGCGTCTCATTCTCCAGAGGGAAAGAAACGCGCAATCAGTTATCTCATTTCATTTTATAAACGGCAGGGCTTCCAAAGTGCAAGGCACTGATTGGACCCTGTGAGAAGCTCAGATTTCTTTCAACCGAGGCGACTGAGAAAAGTTAAGAGAAAAGCACTTTTTAGAAGCACTTTTTAGAAAGCCAAAGGGTTCAAAGGGAGCCTCGCTTTCTCTCATTCTGCTCCCCACCCACCCAAGGATGTCGGCATCCCTTTACGGGTACTTGGGTCTTTTCTCCACCATCGCCTCCTCCTCCACCACCAAGAAAAAAGGAAGGAAGGAAGAGAAAAAAGAAAGAGAAAGAGAGAGAGAAAAGGAAGGAAGGGAGAGAAAAAAAGAAAAAAGGAAGGAAGGAAAAAGAAAGAGAGAGAAGAAAGAAAGAAAAAGGAGGAAGGAAGAGAGAAAGGAAAAAGAGAAGAAAAAAGAGAGAGAAGAAAGAAAGGAAAAAGAAGGAAGGAAGAGAGAAAAAAGAGAAAAGAAAAAAGAAAGAAAAAATAGAGAGAGAAAGGAAAAAGAAAGGAAGGGAAGAAAGAGAGAGAAGAAAGAAAGGAAAAAGAAGGAAGGAAAGAGAGAGAAAGAAAGGAAAAAGAAGGAAAGAAAGAAAGAGAGAGAGAGAAGAAAGAAAGGAAAAAGAAGGAAGAAAGAGAGAGAGAGAAGAAAAGAAAAAGAAGGAAGTAAGGAGAGACAGAGAAGAAAGAAAGGAAAAAGAAGGAAGGAAGAGAGAAAAAAGAGAGAAAAAAGAAAAAAGAAAAAAGAGAGAGAAAGGAAAAAGAAAGGAAAGAAAGAGAGAGAAGAAAGGAAAAAGAAGAAAGGAGAGAGAGAGAGAAAGGAAAAAGAAGGAAGTAAAGAAAGAAAGAAAGAAAAAGAGAGAGAGAAGAAAGAAAGGAATAAGAAGGAAGGAAAGAAAGAGAGAAGAAAGGAAAAAGAAGGAAGGAAAGAAAGAGTAGAAAGAAAGGTAAAAGAAGGAAAGAAGGAAGGAAGGAAGGAAGGAAACCCGACCACACTCACCACCAAGAGCTGGCTTCGGCCAGGAGCTGCGTGTAGCCGCAGAGGAGAGCCAGGCGGAGGAGTAGTCGCGTCCCGGGCATGGTGCGCTTCCCGCGGCTCCCGCGCCTTTGCCCGGTTAGGCTGAGACTCAGCTGGGATCCCTGCAGGACAAGAAAGGCAGGAGGGAGGGGGAGCGTCAGCCGAAGAGGGGCGGCGGCGGGGGGTTAGCTTGAGTCCGGCGAGGGGGAAGGATCTGACTGAGGACGCTCGTGGCGCGCGCCCCCCCCCTCCCTCGCCTTCCTCCGGCCAAGGACTCCCCCACCTCCCACTCCCCGCACCCGGCCCGCTCTCGTCTCCCCCACAGCCAAACCCCAGCCAGGTTGGGCGGAAAATCCGTAATTTTCCCGCCCGGAGAGGGAAGGAAGAAGCCAGTACCAGTGAGGGAAAAGTTGCGCTTTCCCCCTTACAGGACAGGTCAAGCCCTCAAAAGGAGCACATTGCACATGCTCAGAGGCCCTGGGTCCCCCTTGCCACCAAGGTTAGAGAAGAGGGAGAGTCAGGGGAGGGAGGGAGGGAGGGAGGGAGCGCCCCATCTTCTGGGTCCAGGAACTGGTGAGATCATTCATAAAGTATGACATGGCATAGATCAAAGGGGGCTGGCGGTGGGGGTAAGTGCTGACAAGGGAGAGATGGATCTGGTCTGAGTTAAAGCCAGCGAAACAAGAAAGGTAAAGGGAGGGGGGGATTTCCAGTATGATTGATGCTCTGATGATTTTTTGGAAGCCGTTTTCAAGGTGCAGGACCCTCTTTCAGGCAAGGGGGACGCTAGGTTTTTTTGAGTTAACGCACCAACGTCCAGTCTTAAGCAACCATTAAAAAAAACAGCGGATACCACCCGTTTTCAGACTCTTGCTGGCACGCCAATGAACAAATTGTTATGACCAATAACATCCAAACGTGAAGAGACTGGAAATGTCTAGTATGCCAGACTTAAAAAAAATAATAACAAGTGTAGCAAACTTCTAGCTTTCTCTTCTGCACTTCAGTCTGCATTTTCCTTCCCTGAAGCTCAAGACTCTTTTTTCCCCCCCTCCCATAATTATCCCCAAGAAGAAGGTCTAGGTCCTGTTTTTTCTGACACCCACACCAACTGTTGTGCAATCAGCACAGATCCTTCCAGAAATCAACAATTACCGGCTACTCCTTCCCGAAGCTGGGGAGAAGGAAGCTCAGACAGATATACGGCCACCTGGCAATTCAAAATTCTCTCTCTGGCTGGGCATTTCAATAATTGTTATGATTACAGTGCATATCTCTAACCAGAGCCCAGGAAAGAGCGAGATCAGCAAACATCCTGCTGGCACCTTTATTAAGCTCTGTGGATTAGCGTGCACTTGCATCAGAATCGAATGGATACCTGCGGCTAGTCCTGACTTTAAATCAAGTTCTATCAAAGTTGCCGGCTTGCGTGCACAAACAGTTGCTTGGCCTGGAAATACACAATATTGATCGTAAGGTTTCAGTCTAGAAACTGTTCCTCAGCCTTCCTCTGGAGATGCCAAATTATCATACTGCATATTGTGAGCAGTCAAATATTCTAAAGACCAGCATTTCCTTAGACCAGCTCTGACCACAGAGGGGGGAGGAGGAAGAAGAGAGGGAGGGAGGGAGAAGGAAAACTATTCTTATTCCTTTCGTAGCTAATCATCAACTCCATCCCTAAAACACAAGAATGGGAAGCTGGAAGGAGATCAGCTTCCCACACCACGTTTCTGCAGTTTACTCACTTCCATTCATACTGCCAGGACTTCATTTGCATCCCGAGCCAGGAAGCTATGTTAATGCCAGGTCTCCCAATCCTAGACATGTGGATTCATAACACAGACTAGAGGCTATCTAATCTGAATAACCAGCGGTGTTTTGCCTTGTTCCACTACACACAGCCAGATCAGCCAGAAAGTAAGGGGAGGAATTCTCAATTCAAAGGCAAGATTTTTAGGAAAGTGTGAACCCTTGCCCCGTTTAAAAATTAACCAGGAAGTGGGAACAACGTGGCTTTCATGATTTATTTTTGTTTGGTTCCATACCAAAGAGCATCCCTTTGTCAAGAAGAATGCTAAAGAAATATTTGCTTATGAAGCGGTGTTAGCCTTTATTATCTGTGTTGGAGGATAACACTGTTTCATACTAAAAACAGATTACCTAGCCATGTTGGCAAAGGACCAACCCTGAAAGTTTAGTAAATTGGGTCTTTTTGACTAGTGGAAGAGTTTAATGGCATCTGAAAAACAGATTTCTTGCAACTTCAGCTTAGATTTATGCTTTCATGGGCCCAAGTTCAGTTTGCCACTAATCAGGTTTATGCAATAAGTATGCAATTCTGGAAAATGCTAAAGCTTCCCTGTTGCTTTGCTGTGGCTGGATTTATATTCAGAATTATGGGTTATTGGATAAGCTTCAGTGTCCAGCTTTCCACCGAAGGCTAAACCATAAATGGTATTTTACAAATCACAGTGATAGATTAGCCAACAAGAAAAGCCAATAATACATCACAACACCCATTGTGATATTACCCAACCTCTGTCAAAAAACAGTATAAAAAAGGGCAGAGAAACAGTTTCCTATTAGCAATCAATACTTCTAATCTCTATCTTTTAGTCTAGCAAAAACCCCAGAAACTGCAGATTTAAGGTACTTCCTAATAAGGCTTTTATTAGCAATTGTCCAGCCTTTTCCATACAGCTAGGAAAGGGGACAGGCTTGTTAGTTTCTGTTTGCAACCCTCATTTATTTTCTACATTTTTTGTCCTTTGACGAAGAAGAAAAGAATGTCACCCTCACCTCACAATGGCTTTTGACTGGCTAGGAGCTAGCAATCTTCTGTGCTTAGAAGTGTCCCTAATCTACCGTAAGAGATGTAAAGTGCAAAAAAGTCAACATTTAATTTCTCTAATTTTGCTTAGACCCAGCAAACTTTTATAGGTCAAACTGTCAATAAGCATCTGTCTCTCAATAGCTCTCATTCTCATGTATTCCACATATTTTACTTAGGTGGTATTACAAGACTTCTGTGTAATTTTTATTCTCATTCATTTGTTTGATTTTTAGCCTGCTTTTATTTTTGGTGAATCAATCCTGTATATACTGGGCAAAAGACATTTATCCGACCTTTGGCTCTAGGTTTCTTCTAGGTTTCAAAGTGCAAATTCACACAGGTTTATATTTTGCTCATTTAGAGCAACTGCACCCACTGGAGATGGGTTTGTGCAACCACTTGTTGATTGGACTTTCATATCCCCCAAAACCTGACAACTACTTCACGTACTGTATTTGGCATGCAAATCATCAATCAAGAAATCCATGAAAGATGAATTTCTGGCACTCAAATCATGATCCCTGCTGATGCTGACATTTGGGTTCATATCCTGTTTTGATGGTAGGGACATGACACCTGCCACCCCCACTTCCCCTGCCCTGTCTCCATTGTATCCTCTCTACCACCCTGGGAAGTAGATTGGCTGAAGAAATAGGGGCTGTGTTTTTGCATAATATGCTAATCAAAAATAAACAAAACACGACTGAAAGCATAACGTAGCTGGTTTGATTTATGAACCACTGTTTAGCATGTTATGCAAGCATATACACAAACTGATTTCAAATCATCCATTGGGCTTCACGGTTGAATAAGGATTTGAACATGAATGCTCTCTGCCTGGCACATTAACCCATACACCACACTGGCTTTACAGAGATGAGGCATCTATTCTACATCTCTTATGCCTTCTTTCATACAACCACTTTTTTGGGGGGGGAAGTCATCCTAAGTAAGAGTTTGGGAGGGTAAATAATGGAACTTTTGCATACTCTTTTAGCATCTTCTGCCAGAATCATCTTTAGAGCTATGGGGCTTGTAGAAACCACTGTCAGGGAAAGACCAGTAGGTCTTAACTCCAAATGCACTTATAATCAGCTGTTGTTAGTTGCAAAGTCATGTCCGACTCATCGTGATCCCATAGACAACATTCCTCCAGGCCTTCCTGTCCTCTACCATCCTCTGGAGTCCATTTAAGATCACACCTACTGCTTCGGTGACTCCATCCAGCCACCTCATTCTCTGTCGTCCCCTTCTTCTTTTGCCCTCAATCTTTCCCAGCATTAGGCTCTTCTCCANAACCCTGAGCCGGTGAGATTTGAACCGCTGAACTGCTGATCTAGCAGTAGCCTGCAGTGCTGCATTTAACCACTGCGCCACCTTGGCTCAAGCCAAATGGATTTTAGCAAGGATTCATAGATCATGAAAAACAACAACAGATTTGTGTTTTACTAAAATAGCAGGGTTTTTAACAACAAAAACAGAATAAAAACTTACTTTTTATATTAAATAGAATAAAAAATTCTTGGAAGATGCGTCAATTCTTTTTGTAATTGCTTAGAATTAGGCACCGCAAGCTTAGAAATCACTATAGCAGGTTGCGGTGGTTCTTATCCTATTCCGTATTTCCTTTTCTGTCAAAGTAAGTGACTCACAATGTAAGAGACTGGCCCCAGAATTTTGAAACCAAAAATCAGGCAATCCTCCTGCCTGTACTTTAATCTTAGATAAAAGAGAATACAGAATAACAGAATTGAAAGGAACCGTGGAGATCTTCTAGTCCCGTGATGGCGAACCTGTGGCCCGCGGAGGCATATTTGCTGGCATGCCAGTCATCAGCTCCGGTGCACACACACGCACCAGCCAGCTGATTTTCTGAAGCCCAAGGAGGGTAAAAACGGCCTCCCCTGGCCCTCCAGAGGTCCGGAAGTTTTGGCACGCCATAAGAAAAAGGTTCACCATCACTGTTCTAGTCCAACCCCAGCTCATACAGGAGAACCTATATCAGTGATGGAACACCTTTTTTTGGCTGCCATGCCAAAGAACAGGGGGGTCGTGCACCGGCGTGCCACACCATAATGCTATGCGCGTGGACCCCCACAGCACACGCGCACGATCAGTGACCCTCCCCCCGCTTTTGCCGCAGTTTTTTTGCCTTCCCCAGGCTCCTAGAAAGGGAGGGCGAAAACAGCCTCCTCACACCCCCTGGACACCGTCTGGAGGCCTCAGG